TTTAGAACAACAATGGGACCGAGCTATAAATTTTGATCAAACCCAGGCGATACAAGTCTAGAAAAATAGCTCATAAAAAATGAAGAAGTGATAAGCTTTAATTCAAGATTTTTCTGTGCAATATATTCATAGTCAAAATGTCCAAAATGAAGCTATTATGCTAAATGAAATAAGTGATAGAAGGACAAACGTATGATTTCTCCTATACGAGGTTCTTAGAGTAGTCAAATTCATAGACAACAGAGATACAAAGTAGAATGGTGGTTTCCGTGGGGCTGGGGGAAGTGAGGCTGGGAAGATTGTGTTTAATGATATAAAAACATGTTCAGTTGGGGAAACTGAAAAAGTTCTGAAGACGGACGGCCACATACTTAATACCACATGTGATGGTTGATTTTGTGGGTCTACTTGGCTAGACCACGGCAACCACATATTTGGTCAGATATTATTCTGGATGTTTCTTTCAAGTGCTTTTTGAATTAACATTTCAATCAGCAGATTACCCTCCTGTAATGAGGGTAGGCTTCATCCACTGAAAGGCATTAATAGACAAGCAGTAACTTGCATAAGTTAGAAGGAATTTTGTCTACTGACTGCTTTGGGTTTGCACTGAAATTCTTCCCTGAGTCTCCAGTCTGCCAGGTTACCCTGAAGATTCTGGACTTGCTTAGCCGACATAATCGTGTCACCCAATCTTTTTAAAATAAATCTCTCTCTATACAAATGTATATGTACAGACATACACCAGTTTAGTGCTGTTTTTCTGGATAATTCTAATATGCAACAGAACCAAATACTTAAAAGTGATTAAATTATAAATTTTATATTAATTTTTATCACTATAAAAATGATTATTTAAAACGTTTCTAAGAAATTTTACGATGCAAAAATATACCTTGAAAACACTATAAAAAAGTATTCGAGTAAAAAGAGAAAATTCTAAAATAATGCCTTGGTGGATGTTTGTGTAAAGGCAGATGGTTCATAAAGTTTTATTGGCAATCACTTCATATGCAGCTGAACTTAAATTTGAGTGACTTACTTTAAATTTCACTTTCTTACTCTTTGCTCTGTCATTGTCTACACTTAAAAGTACTTTTGTTGTTTATACATTCATACAGCTCTAACACATAATGCAGTCTTGCTCACTTTTGGGAGTACTAAAACTTTTTTGTTGGTGTTTTTTATTACAACATTATAGCCAAATGGAGAGTCCCAATCAAATCCCTCAAATCCCATGAGACAATTTATAGTTTTGTGTAATTATTCACAGCAGCCAAATTTTGATGTATTATTTTATGTCCAAAAGAGAAGTTACTTGCTGCAGTAGAACCCATTAATAGGTGAGATCAGGGGAAATTACACATGAAGATAAGAAGTGTCAAAAAAGCAGCAAAGTCAGTGACATCTCACCACGCCACTGAGAAGGATCTGACTGCCTGGGAGGGGGGCAGGTCCATAAGTAAATTAATTGCTGTATTTTTGAACTTTAACATGAATCCCTAAAAATTTAGTTTAGCCTTACTAAAATATATTCTTATACAAGATTACGTGCTAGGAAATATCTAGACGAACTGGACTGGAAAATAACCCAAGGGAGTCACTGCAACTGCTTCATGGTGATTCTGTGCCGCTTCCAGTCGGCGAACAGAAGAATTAGGCACAAACAAGTCAGCTGCAAGAGATTGGGAGCAGGGGACAACCGTCGAAAAGGACTGCTGCCACGAGCAACTCCACAGTCTCACTTTTATTAGATAGAAACAATAGCCAACAGAAGGACCGATGAAGGTCAAACGTTAGTCACTTGTCTTGTGGAAAAGCGAGGAGGAGGATAAAGTTTATAGTTAACCAAGCACATTCAAAGGACTCATCTAGCTAACAACGGGCGCTTCTGGGAAGAGAAAGGGGCAACAGCGGAAAAGGGAAGCAGGCGGTGTTTCGTTCTACCCTGAGCTGACCCGGTGTTCCCCGGTGCTCGGCTTCCCTGAAGCAGGCGCCGTTCCGCCCTGGGCGGGCCGGGCATCCCCAGCTGCCCAGCTTCACGGTCGTATATCCTTCTTCTCCCCAAAGACCTGTTGCCAGTATGTTTTTCTTAAGGCCATATCTAAATGTGCTTGGCAACTAGTAAAATCCTCCAGGGGTTATAGTTTAAGTAACACATTGTTCCGATGGGCAGTTGCAATTTTTGCTTTGCTATTTTGTGAAGATTTATATTTAAGAAAGATACCAACTTCTTTCCTAGTTGTAAATCCTGAAGGAATGAAACAATGCCATGAAAAGACTATGGAAGAGTATATATGGAAACAGGGAAAATATATAGAATATGTGCAATATTTTTTTAAATTTTTTTAAAAGATTTTATTTGACAGAGATCAGAAGTAGGCAGAGAGGCAGGCAGAGAGAGAGGAGGAAGCAGGCTCCCTGCTGAGCAGAGCCCGATGCGGGGCTTGATCCCAGGACCCTGGGATCATGACCTGAGCCTAAGGCAGAGGCTTTAACCCACTGAGCCACCCAGGCACCCCTGTGCAATATTTTCAAAACAGAATGAGATGGCAGTCCTCACGCGGTGCATAGTACCACCACCAACCGGGAACTTGTTAGAAATGTGAATTCTCGGGGCACCTGGGTAGCTCGGTGGGTTAATAAGCCTCTGCCTTTGATTCAGGTCACAATCTCGGGGGGGTGGGGGGGGGTCCTGGGATCAAGCCCCACATCAGGCTCTCTGCTCGGCAGGGAGCCTGCTTCCCCCCCCACCCCCGCCTGCCTCTCTGACTACTTGTGATCTCTCTCTCTCTCTCTCTGTCAAATAAATAAATAAAATCTTAAAAAAAAAAGGAAAAGTGAATTCTCAGGGACGCCTGGGTGGCTCAGTCGTTTAAGTGTCTGCTTTAGCTCAGGTCATGATTGAGTCCCACATTGGGCTCCTTGCTGGGTGGGGAGCCTGCTTCTCCCTCTGTCTGCTACTCCCCATGCTTGTGCTCCCTCTCTTTGACAAATAAATAAATCAAATCTAAAAAAAGAAAAAAGAAAAGAAATGTGAATTCTCCTACTTCTTACTCAATGAGAACCTTTGGGAGTGTAACCCAGCAGTCTGTGTTCATGGGATTCTGAGAGAAGCTAAAGTTTGAGAAGCAGAGCAAAAGAAAAACAAGAATAATATAAGGACACTGGACATAAGAAAATATTTAAGCTTAAAATTTTGGTGCTAACACTTCAATGGATCCTGAAAATTTTGAATCACCATATGATCCTTATCTCCCAGAACAATGCCAACTCTTTACGTACCCACCCTCCCCCAAAGTGAATGCAGGGACTGAGATATTTGCACATCAATGCTCAGAGCATTTCTGCCAGAGTATTTCTGGCAAACGCCAAAAGAGGGGAACGATTCATGTATCTATCAACAGATGAACAGAAAATCAAAAGTTGCAAATAAATGCAATGAAATATTGTTCAGTCTTAGATAGGAAGTCTCATATATATTATTACAACATTAATGAACCTTGCAAATGTGCTTAAATGAGCCAGACACAAAAGGACAAATATTGTATGATTTCACTGACATGATGCACCTAGAGTAAGAAAATCGAAGAAGTGGAAAGTATAACACAGATTACAAAGGCTGGAGATGAGGTGAGGAACAGGGATTGTTTACCAGGCAGAGTTCCTCCTTTAAATGATGAAAAGTTCTAGAAATAGTGGAGATGGTAACACAATATTGTGAATGTACTTAAGGTCATTTAAATTGTACACTGAGAAACGGCTAAAAGGGTAAATTTTATGTTATATATATTTTATCACATTAATAAAAAACTGTCAGGGGCACCTGGGTGGTGCAGTAGGCTGAGCATGTGACTCCTGATTTCCGCTCAGGTCGTCATCTCAGGGTTGTAGGACTGAGTCCCCGCTGGGCTTCACACTCAGTGGGGAGTCTGTTTGGGATTCTCTCTCTACCTCTCCAGCTGCCCCTCCCCCCACTCTCTCTCTAAAATATATCTTTTTTTTTTTTTTTTTAAGATTTTATTTATTTACTTGAGAGACAGAGAGAGAGAGAGCATGAGGGGAGAGGGTCAGAGGGAGAAGCAGACTCCCTGGAGCCCAATGCAGGCAGGACTCAATCCCGGGACTCTAGGATCATGACCTGAGCTGAAGGCAGTCACTTAACCAACTGAGCCACTCAGGTGTCCCTTCTTTTTTTCTTTAATTAATTTTGCTTATTTATTTGAGAAAGAAAGAAAACAGGAGAGAGACCATGAGCAGAGGGGAGGGGCAGAGTGAGAAGCCGGTTTCCCAATGAGCAGGGAGCCTGACACCAGACTCCATCCGAAGACTCTGGAATCATGACCTGAGCTAAAGGCAGATGCTTAACCAACTGAGCCACCCAGGCACCCTAAAATAAATCTTGAAAAAAACCCAAACTGTCAAGGTTACTAAAAACAAGGAAACTGTCACAACCATGAGGAACCTAAGAAGACATGGAGGCTAAATGCAATGTGATATCCTAGAAGGAACCCCGGAACAGAAAATGGATTTTGGTAAAAACTAAGTAAATCTCAATCAAGCATAACTTCTGTTACTAATAATGTATGAATATTCATTTATCAATTGCATAAAATGTACCGTATTGATAGAACATGTTAACAGTCGGGGAAACTGGGTATGGGGTAAATGAGAACTCCCTGTACTATCTTAGTAATTCTGCTTTAAATCTAAAATGGTCTGAAATTAACTGTCTACTGAAATAATTAGATAATAAAGAAGTTATTAAATTTGGACACTTTGCCAAAAAAGCAATAAAGCACATAAAAAATAGTATCACGTGGGGCACCTGGGTGGCTCCGTGGGTTGAGCCTCTGCCTTTGGCTCAGGTCATGATCTCAGGATCCTGGGATCGAGCCCCACATCAGGCTCTCTGCTCAGCGGGGAGCCTGCTTCCCCCTCTCTCTCTCTCTGCCTGCCTCTCTGCCTGCTTGTGACCTCTGTCAAATAAATAAATAAAATCTTAAAAAAGGAGTGCCACGAATTATTATAGAAATGCAGATTAAGTAAGACTATGATACAATTATTTTAACTTAAAAAAGACCGGCTATACTTATTGTTGACAAAGACGTGTTCCAAATGGAACGCTGATGAAGAGCTGGTGGGAGTATAAAATGGCACATTCACACTGGAAACCAATTTGGCTAATTCTTAAAAGTTAAACATTCAGCTGTGAGCAACACCCCCTTCTCAGGTATTTACGTATAACATCCGTTCTGGTAGTAGGTCAGCAAGATAAACACACTGTGTCATACACAACCAATAGAAGACCACTCAGCGATAAAAAGGAATGGACACAACAGGGATAACTCTCAAATTAGCTGTACGAGGATACACTTTAGGAGTCCATTTATACAAAAATAGAATGAAAAGCAGCTGTGCAAAAGTAGCCTGTAGGATTCCAAGTATACAGAAAAATTAAAGAAATGCAAAGTAGTGTAAAATGACATAAATCGCTAGACTCTCCCACATCCACTGCATGCATAAAGCATTTCTCCGCTGCTGCAAACTTGACAGGGTTTAACGAGGCCAGAGCTGTGACTGAAGGTGTCCCCACATTTGCAGTTCTCTTAAGGACTCTCACATCCGTGTGAACCCTCCGTTCTGCAGCGAGACTGGAGTCGTAGCACAGAAACTTCCCACACCTGCTACAGTAAGAAGGCCTTTCTCCACTGTGATCTGCCCGACGTCCAGTGAGCGCGGAGCTGCAACTGGAGGCCTTTCTCCAGCGTGCGTTCTCTGGTGTCGAATGAGTGTGAAGCGGTACCTAAAGAATTTCCCACATCGGTTGCACTCATAAGGCCTTTCTCCAGTGTGAACTCTCTGATGAATAATGAGCGAGGAGCTGTCCATAAAGAATTTTCCACATTCTCTGCACTCAAAAGCCCTCACTCCAGTGTGGATTTTCTGGTGCTCGGCAAGTTTATGTTTGCGGCTGAAGGCTTTTCCACACTCACCGCACTTATAAGGCCTCTCTCCAGTGTGGATTTTCTGGTGTTCAACGACTTTGTCTTTGCGGCTGAAGGCTTTCCCGCATTCACTGCACTCATAAGGCTTTTCGCCGCTGTGGATTTTCTGGTGCTCAGCAAGTTTATGTTTGCGGGTGAAAGCTTTCCCACATTCGCTGCACTCATGTGGCCTTTCACCAGTGTGAACTCTCTGGTGTCTAACGAGCGTGGAGCGATTCCTAAAAAATTTTCCACATTCACTACAACCATAAGGTCTTTCTCCCGTGTGGATTTTCTGGTGACCAACAAGTTGGGAAAGTCTAAGGAAACCCTTCCCACATTGGTTGCACTCAAAAGGCCTCGGCCTGCTGCGAATACCCTGGTGGTCACCGAGGCCAGGTACCTGTGCGAAGAATCTCCCACATTCTGGGTTCTCATAAAGCCGATCCTCGTCATGGCCCTTCAGGTGCTGACGGGGGTGGGACTTTCGGAGGAAGGCCCTCCCACATTCCCGGCACTCATAAAGCTTTCTTCTGCTGGGGCTTTTCTCACAGTCCACAAGTATATGTTTACGGCTGAAGGTTTTCCCACACTGGGTGCACTTACAATAATTCTGCTCATTCTGAAAGGCCTCTCCACCTCCTGTGTCCCAGTGTGGCTTTCCTACAACATGAAGAACCTGTGGCTGGAGAAGGCCTGAGCTGGCTGGGATGGCGTTCCCACCATCCCTGTGTGTAAAGCTTGTCTCTGTCACGTGACCTCTGCAGTTCTTCACAAACGGAGGCCTCCCCTCACCGCTTCTGGAAAGTTTCTCTCTAATTTGTTGCTTTTGGTGCTGCAAATGCTTTTCCCCACAAGTGCGCAGGCCTCGCTCAGGGCGTGTTCCATCATGCTCAGCCCAGCGCAAAAGGTCTTTCCAGAGCAAGCTACAGGGCTTCCAAGGCTGGGACTTCTCGGTGGGTGGGCCTGGCTTTGGAGTCCTGACCTGTGACCCTCCTACAGAATCACCTTGCTCTGAAGGGACCTTCTCGTCCTGGGCTCCGTGCCAGCAACCTGTAAGCAGAGAAATGCTGGGAAAGTGCCAGCTGACTTCGGTGGCAGGAGGTGGCCCCACTGAGGCCACAGGACTGCTGACAGGCTAGGAGGACTTGAGACAGGGAGAGGAAGGCCTGCGGTGCGGAGCTCAGCCTGGCAAGCCCCCGTGATGGGAGAGCCCTGACTCTGGGGAAGGACACGAGGGTGAGGAAGTGCGGGGAGGAGAGGCGGGCTCCCCAACCCCCTCCTTTGCAGGTGACTTTCAACCAGGCCAGAGCTTCTGGGGACCGCTGAGCACTGACACAAGACTGGGTCCACCCAGCAGAAATGGGTGATTGCAACACAGTGGCCGGGGTTCATAGAGTATTTAAAGATATGTGCGGCCATCACAATACCTCAGGATAGGCCATATGTCAAGTGTACTGCAAAGGGACCAAAGGGAAAGGATGACAGATGGAAGCCACAAAAGCGGGAGAACTGGGAAATGCAGGATTGGAAATGATCGTGGGAAAGAAGAGGTAGAAATGATGTATGACCACTGTCCCTGGAAGCATACAGTGGGGAACCCAGCCCATTCCCACCACACCCATTCCCAGCCCCCAGCCCCCAAGCCCCAGGGCCATGTCCTATTGCCACTGATGGAGTAATGGCCACGCTGTCAGGCACCCAGGGCCCACCCCCCCAACTTCTTCAAGATGAGCACTTCTGTGGGACCTGGAATGGGCCAACCCAGGTGAAACACAGGAAAAGGGAGTGGAAAGCATGCCCCCACAGCGATCCTTCACACAACATCCCACATTCTAAAACCAAAACAACTTCAAAGGAGGGTCTTGCAGAACCAGCGGTCTGTACAAATAGAGACCACACTGGTGGCTGAAACTACGGCACAGGTGTGCCCCAAGGAACATCAGCGAGGAGGAGGACGGCATGAAGCCAAACACTGGATCAATGACGAGCAAGACCACTGGGATTTCTCAGACAAACTCGGAGCAGAAGTGCACCGGGCCCAGACCCAGCTCCCATAAATGTGTGCTGGGAATCCAGGAGGGAAGCAGTGACTGTGATGTGGGTGTGGGAACGACAGAGCTACCCCTGGGAAAGGGAAAACCAGCATCCAGCCCAGGACACTGGAGTGGATGCGAGGGCCTTACCTAGTGATGACAAAAGTGCCAAGGTCTCCAGCATCACACTGTGGTACAGGCTTCTCTGAGCCTCGTCAAGGAGCCCCCACTCCTCCCGGGAGAAGTGTATGGCCACATCTGTAAAAACCACAAGCCCCTGCCAAAATGCGGACGATTCAACCAACGTGCAGCTTCTCGTCCAGGATCTTCAGCACCGTCCCCCACCCCACCTCCATCGCCCCCATGCCCCCCACCCCAACTTCCCGATGCGGAAGAGATGCAAGGTCTGGTGGCACTGGGCCTCCCTACCATCACTGCCACTGATCGCCATGTCCAGAATGCGGTAGAACAAGTGGCGGGGGGCGCAGAAAGCCCCACCTAGGCTCTGGGGCTGCAGGAAGGGGGGGCGCTCTGCTCTTTCAGTAAATGTGGCTCAGGTCCCCCAGGTCTTGCCTGCCAGACAACAAAGGCTGGACTTATCTCTCCTCCATATGCACCACAGCCCAGGACCTGGGTCAGACACTCCTGTGCTTGTCCGCCGCGTGTCGCTCTTGCAGCTGCGGATCTGGCCCCTCCACTTGGGCTGCTCAGTGCCGAGGCCCACCCCCCTGCTCTGCAGGCGACGCCACAGCTGCCCAGCACGCCGCTGTGTGCATGGGGTCCGGGCAGTAGTTTGCAAATGGAATCAACAGCGACGTGGCCCCATCCTGCCCCAGAAACCCAAGTTCCTTAGCACCAGAGACCACTAGGGTCCCTTTGTGGTTCTCCCCGCCTGGCTCTGCCACCTGTGTCACACTCGCCCTCCCAAAGCTAATGTCAGTACCGCGCAGACTCTTGGCCCTCGGCTACGTCACTGCCACACACGCTGTCCTGCAGGCAGTCACGAACAGCCTGTGTCCACCTGACCCACACCTGGAGCCCAGCACACTGACCTCCCCACCGCAGGCCTAGCAACGCTGCTGGCCGATCCGTTTTAACCTCATCTCCTCTACCAGCCCGAATGAAACAATCCGGTCTGACCAAGAGTCACCACAACGCTGATGAGTCCAAGGAGAGATAATGAGCCCTGCCCTGAGCTCACCGACATCTGACCGCCTTCGTGCAGACGCTTCAACACCTACCTCCTACCTCCTACCCTTGACCTCAGGAGCCTTTCAGACTCCACCTGCGCCCCTCAGAGGCACACCTCCCCACAACCCCCCCCCCCCCCCCTGGTTTCTCGCCTGCCTTTGTGATGTCCACTACCACCACCCAGGCTCCCAAAAAGGATTCAGATCTCGGCCTCCTTCTGCCCCTTTCCACCTGCGCAACCTCATGATCCCCCCTCTGAAAACTGAGGCACGGCGACACTTCAGTCACATTCCGGCCACTGTGTTGTGGCTGTCTGCAACGTGAATGCCTCCCCAAAACTCCAGACCCGTGTGTCCCTCGCCGACTGGGTACCCCTACTCAGGAGTCTCCGGAACATCTGTGACATCAGTGACAAAACCTGACCTCCTATTCCCTCTGAAAAGCCCTGTGACTACTCACTTCCCCATCTCAACTGACAGAACATCCAAACTTCCAGAGAAACCCAAAGGCCTTGGGGCTGTCCCTGACTCCCCCTCCCTTCACACCCCAGACGCCCTCACTAGCCACATCACTAACCGTGGGCAACTGTGCAGAAGTGTCCAGAAGGCACCAGTCCTCTACCTCCCCAGCCACCACCCATGGGAACCTGTCCAGCCATCAGCAGGACTCGCCTGCAGTGTCAAAGGAGTTTCCTCCCAGGTCACTATTCCCACCTTCACTTAGCCTCTCATCCACACTGCGGGTAGACAGAGCCCATTCAGCTCTGGATGGTATCACCAGGCTCCTCTGCTCCAAAACTTCTCTAGCTCCTACTTCCTTCAGATCAGAGGCCCAGAACCCCATGTTGTGATCGCGGATCTGGTAACTGTGTGCCCCCACCCCCAGCACTCCCCCTCCCACCCCATATTCCCACCATACATAAGAGCCTTGCAGTTCCCTGGGCATTCCAACTCTCACCCCGTCACCTGAGCAATCTGGAACCTGTGCTCAGAACGCCCTTCCACATCTCACCCCGTCAGTTGCTAGAAATGGGCAACACTCCATAGGATCCAGGGCTCAGTTCAAAACCCTGAGCTTTGGTGAAACCACAGGGACTTTAGGCCCAAGGGAGGGAGAAGACCAGGTGAACAATCTCAGGACACCACCATTCTTTATAAGGGAGTGGCAAAACCACCAGGGTGACAACTGGGGTGCGTAAAGGTCTGTCACATCCTCCATTCACCTATACAGGGTCTATAAGCATTTCTGCAAACGCCATGGGAACCTGTGGGAAGAGGGAGGCCATGAGAAAGGTGCAACCATCGTAGGATCCTACAGACTGAACTGGACCACCCCTGCCCACGCTGGAGCACAGTGATCTCAGTCTGATCACTAAGCTCTCAGCTCCTCTGACTTCGGTGCCGTCCTTCCAGCCAGGTGACTGCAGAGGGATTGAGCCTCCTGAGCCTCAATTCCTTTCCTGAAAAATGGGGTTAACGATGGTCCCCACCTCACAGAGCTGATAACAGTATTAAATATGATTAATACACACTACCCAGCAGCCATTGTTATCCATGGGATTAGCAATTCTATATGTTGTCAGTGCAAATACAGGGACAGGGTTTTAAAAACATGGGTCTGCACTATTTTTGCTTTTTAAATTTTTCAGAAAATGTGATATATAACATTCTATGGTTGGCAAATACCACAGATAAGTTAATTTTGCAATTTTATTAAGTATTAAAATGTTTACCTTATTGAAGGAATTAACTTCTAGTTGCCTCCTCATGTGTACATATATAGATGACAACTGGTTACCTGATGTCTTAACCGATAAACGTTTCATACATTCACGCACACGCGCACGCACACACACACACACACAATGAGCTGTAGGGAGAGTCTGAGCAGGCAGCTCAGCTACTCTTCCCTTCTGCCAACAAGCCCACCTGCTACGTGATCCCCTGAAGGGCGCTCGCAGGACCCCTTTACTGGAGCACTCCTTCCTTCCTCTGACACTCAGAGGTGGAGGAGAAGACAGTGCGCCTGTCTGGGACCCATTTGCTCCCCAAATATGGCTATTCCTTGGTCTCACAGGGATCAGCTGACCTGCAGGGCTGAGAGCCCATACACCCAACCCCACCCAGGCCAGCAAACTTACAGCCTCCAGGCATGCTTTTCTAGACACAGGCCAGAACACCTTCTATGTCCCGTACGCTCCTTCACGGAGCATTAAGGATGCTGAATCCCCTACATGCTCAGCCTCAGCCCTCCTGACACCACAGAGCCCATCAGCGATAACCCCCTTAGGACTTGCTCCTTGATCTTGCCTTCAGGTCCTGCTCTGCCGCAGTGCACACCCTCCGCTCGCCTGACAGCCTGGCCCCTCGCGTCCTCCAGACTGTTACCTCCAAGTACTCATGTGTATGAGTACTGTATCTCCATTCGCGGTATCTCAGCATCGCCAAGTCCAAAACCAGACTCAGGATCTCCCGCCTCCTGCTCCCTGGGCTCGCTCCCCCGCCTCCACCCTTTAGATGTTCAGGCCAAGAAGCCTGGATATAGCCCTTCGCTCGCTAGCTCTCCTCACAGGTGTGGGTGATGCGGCCCGAAACGCCGTGGGTTCCGTTGTGGACTCCACGCAGGATCTCATCGCATCTCCCGCCGCCGCTCTCGCCCTGACCCAGCCGCCATCAGAACTGCCCCCGAGGGCGGGGGTCTGCAGTGTGTCCTCCGGTGTCTCTGCTCCCGTCCCCGTCCTGCTCTCCCCTGCCTTAAACTTGTGACTCTGCGCAGGGCCCTCCCATCCCCGCCCCTTCCGACCTTCGGCGGATCCGGCTGTCCACGCCGCCACTGCATGCGGCACTCCGCCTCGCCCTCCGCTCCCCGCACCCGCGAGAGCCCGGTCACCCCCACCCCCAGCCCCGACTCAGGAGCACCTGCCGGACCCTCCCCCGCCACGCCCCACCGCACCGACGGAGCCGGGACCGCACGCCGGGGCGCCCTCTGCTCCCGCCCAGCCGGCCCGGCTGAGGGGAGCTGCGCGGGCGCCCCTCCATCCGGCTGCAGCACTCGGGGCGGGGAGCGGGAGGCTGCGGGCCCGGGGGTCGCAGCACCCACCTGAGCCGGCTTCATCGGCGCGGCCTCCGCCAACGACCGGCGGGAAGAGCGGAACGGGGAGCGGCGGGCGTCCGGGCGGAGACGGGAGAGCCTCGCAGCGGCCTCCGCGGCGTGGACGACACCTCTCCCCGCGCTTTCCACGTACTTCAGTCACGACTCTGGTCGCATTAAACCAGAAAAGGTCCCGAGAACAACAATAGAACCTGACACTACAGAAGCGTCGTCTGAAGTCCCGCCCCCGCCCGAAGCGCACGCATGAACACCTGGAGGGGTGGGGGTGGGGGTGGGGGGGGTCCGTCTCCGCCGCTGCGGCCGCACGGCCTTCTGGGTAATGTAGTTTCGGCGCCGCTACTGCGCAGACGCAAACTGTAGGTCGTTCCTGACAGAGGATAAAGGCTCGGCGAAGTACCCAGAGCTCTGAGAAATGGAGTTCCGGGTTCTACAGGGGGCGGGGCTTTGCTGGTTCTTAAAGGGGCGATAGGCAGCTTTCACAGGAAGGTCCGGAGATCTGTTGTTCCAGGTTCCCGCAATCGCAGCGTTATTTCCAAAGGCCTGCACAGAAAGGGACACAGCACACCGTGATGTTACTCGCCGCCCCAAGTAGCTCTCGGCTACCTTGTTGCTTGTCAAAGACCAGAACACTGACCCTTTAGAATCCTTTTTACAGGCTCCAATAGTTTCAATAAGAAAAACTTCCAAAGGGCCGCCTGGGTGGCTCAATGGGTTACGCCTCTGCCTTCGGCTCAGGTCATGATCCCGGGGTCCTGGGATAGAGCCCCACATCGGGCTCCCTGCTCAGCGGGGAGCCTGCTTCCTCCTCTCTCTCCCTCTGCCTCTCTGCCTACTTGTGATCTCTCTCTCTCTGTGTCAAATAAATAAATAAACTAAAAAAAAAAAAAAAATAGGAAAGAAAAGAAAAGAAAAACTTCCAGGGGTGCCTGGGTGGCTCAGTCCTTTAAGTGTGGGTCTCGATTTCAACTCAGGCCTTGATCTCAGGGTCATGAGATCCAGCCTTGCCAGGAGATCCATGCTCAGCATACAGAATCTGTTTGAGATTCTCTCCCTTTGCCCCTGACTAACCAACCAGCTAACTAACTAACTAACTAGATAGGGAGGGAGGGAAGAGGGGAAGGGGAGGGGAAGTGGAAGGGAGGAAGGGCCTCCAGACAGGGCTGTGGTGGGGAAATTGAAAGAGGGGTTTGAGGAGGCCCTGAAGCAGTTAGAAAGGGTGAGGCTGCGCCTCTGATTCCCACTGAAAACATTCCTCCTGACTGTGTGGTCAGGTTGGTGTTCCAACCTAGAGAACAATACTTCAATTCACATAATATTTATTACTGTATATCTGAGATATGTCCCATGTCTTTAAGACTCTGAAACCTATCTGAAAAAAAGACTTCTTACATGCCATCTTCTACCTGAACAGTGTATGCCTTCCTGACAACTTGGCCATGTATGCAACAGGAGGACATCCTATCCCTGAGATAAAAGAGTTGAGTATCCATAGGCTCGTCTCTTTGCTGGTTAGTGATTATCGTTTCATCTGTAACTGCAGCAACGGTGAATGCACAGAGAGTGGAGATTATCTCTGGAAAAACACTTGTGAAATTGTTTTATGCTATTAAAAATGTTTTTCAAGGAAAATGGCAAAAATCATTCTAGAGAAATATATCTGTGACAAGTGGGGGGAGAGTTAAGATCAGTGAAGTCTGAGCAAGAGTCACGGAGTCTAGCGAGTTAGAGAATGAAGCAGAGACTGCAACCTTGGCTTCGTTCTCGGTTTGGTCCCAAAATGTGACTATTTTTAATACCTGAAAACATTGTGCAGTAACAGCCTGTGTAGGGAGAGGAACACACAATACTTACAGAGTTGCCAGAAAGATAAGAAGGAAAAAGGAAGTTGTTCTGTTGTGTCTTTACTGATCTGTGAATGGTCAATAAGCACTTACAGAAATTAGAATAATAAATAGTCCCTTTAGAGGAACTCTAGCACATAGCAGCATATTTTGAAAGGGCTCCAGAATAAAAACAGGACAGGACCCACTCTAAATTGTGTCCCTGGAGGTCAAACAGATAATGGCCCACTTCCCAACCAACCACTTACTGACAAAGATACCTGTAGATACTGTAAATAGAAGCAACACTAGGAAAAGGATTGTGCCATCTTATGAAACAAAACCAAGACAAAGAAAACACCTCAAGCCAGATCAATGAGGGTGCTCTGAGGAAGGAAAAAGTGCCTAATAACCAAGATGAATTAACCGACGGTCATCCTCATCAATTCCTGATAGAATGGGTTACTCTTTCTACATTAAAAACTGACATCATAGGGCGCCTGGGTGGCTCAGTGGGTTAAAGCCTCCGCCTTCAGCTCAGGTCATGATCCCAGGGTCCTGGGATAGAGCCCCACATCGGGCTCTCTGCTCGGCAGGGAGCCTGTTTCCACCTCTCTCTCTCTCTGCCTGCCTCTCTGCCTACTTGTGATCTCTGCCTCTCAAATAAATAAATAAAATCTTAAAAAAAAAAAAAAACTGACACCATTGCTCAGTCTCTTCCTCAGAATGTAATATATTTAAAATAACAAATACATTTTCTCTATTTCAAGCCTTAATTATAACACCTGGGCCCCTGACTGAACGATCAGAAGCATTCCTCTTGCTCTGTGATACCAGCCCTGAAAATTTAATAGGGTTTTATTAAATCACATACTACCAAAGATCCTATGAGTAAATAGAGAAACCACAAGAGAAAATTTTTAGATGTAAGTATTTTGAGCTTGATAAAAGTAAAAATGTTAATATAAAAGTCAATGTGGCACAGCAAAACTAAATGATTAGAGGTAAATGTACAGCTTTAAACAGCTTATTAAAATGAAGAAAGATGTCAATAACTTAAACATCTATGTTAAAAAAAAGAAAAGAAAATGAGAAAACTAATGAAAACAATGAAAAACTAATCCCAAACCAAGGATAAGAAAGAAAAATGATAAAGATTAGGAAAAAAAAGCTTACTGAAATTAGAAAACAGAAACACACATGCACACACAAAACTTGATAACTAAACCACAGAAAAACACTACAAGAAAGACAATTACAGGCCAGTATCCCTGATGCTCACGCATGCAAAAGACTTCAACAAAATATTAGCAAACCGAGTTCAACAATACATTAAAAGGGTCATAGACCATGATCAAGTGGGATTTATTCTAGGGATGCAAGGAAGGTTCGACATCAACCAATCAATCAACGTGATACGCCACATTAACAAAATAAGGTATAAAACTATATGATCATCTCAGTAGGTGCAGAAAAAGCACGTGACAAAATTCAATATCCATTTATGACGAAAACTCTAAAAAAATATGAATATAGAAGAAATGTACTTCAATAGAATAAAGGCCATATACGACAAACCCACAGCTAACATCATACTTAACAGTGAAAAGTTGAAAGCTTTTGCTCTAAGATCAGGCACAAGGCAAGGATGCCAGTCTTGCCACTTTAATTAGATCAGTACCGGAAGTCCCAGCCACAGCAAACGAACAAGAAGAAAGAAGAGGCATGCAAATTGGAAAGAAGTAAAAGTGTCACTAGTCACAGACGACGGACTGCACATATAAAACCTTAAAACCTTCACCCAAAAACTATTGGAACTAATAAATGAATACAATAAATTTGCAGGATACATAATCAATATATAGAAATCTGTTGCATTTGTATACACTAATAATAAACTATCTGAAAAAAAAATTAAGAAAATAATCCCATTTACAACTGCATCAAAAAGAATAAAATATCAAGTAATAAATTTAACCGAGGTGAAAAGCCTGTCTTCTAAAAACTACCAAGACAATGATGAAAGAAATTAAAGACAACACAAATAAATGATGGACAGATAATCCACACTCATGGATTAGAAAAGTTAACACTTAAAATGTCCATACTACCCAAGGCAATCTACAAATTCAACGCAATCCCTACCAAAATACCAATGGTATTTGTCACAGAATAATCCTAAAATTTGCATGAAACCACAAAGGACCCCAAACAGTCAAAGGAATCCTGAGGAAGAACAAAGCTGGGATACCAGGCTCCCAGATTTCAAACTATACTACGTATCTATAGCAATCAAAATAGTCTGGTACTGACACAACACAGACACAGAACAATGAAACAGAACAGAAATCCCATAAATAAACCCACACTTACATGGTCAATTAAGATGACAAAAAGACAAGAATATAGAATGAAGAACAGACACCATATTTAATAAACAGTGTTGGGAACACTGGACAGCTACATGAAAAACAATGAAATTGGGTCATTTTATTATACCATATACAAAACTGAACTCAAAATGGGCTAAAGACTTAAATATAAGACCTGGAAGTATAAAATTCCCAGAAGAAAACACAGGCAGTATGTTTTTGGGTATATGTTTTTGGATGTCTCCTCAGGTAAGGACAACGAAAGTGAAAATACACAAGTGGGACACCAACGGAAAAGCGTCTGCACAGCAAGCAAACGATCGACAACGAAAAGGCGACCCACGGAATGGGAGAAGATACTCACAAATTACAGATCTGATTAGAAGCTAACATCAAAAATATACGAAGAACTCAGAAATTCAATATAAAAATCTACTCAAAAATAGGCAGAGGACCTGAACATCTTTTCCAAAGATGACACACAGATGAACAGCAGGCACATAAAAAGTTGTTCAACACCAGCATCAGGGAAATGCAAATCCAAACCATAATGAGGCATCACCTCACACTTGTCAGCCAGCCCTTATCAAAAAGATGAGAAGAGGTATCGGCGAGAATGTGGAGAAAAGGGAACAGTTGTGCACTGTGGGTGGGAATGTAAATCGGTGCAGCCACTATGAAAAACATATGAAACTATGTGACATGATCTGGAAATTCCACTTCTAGGCATTTATCTGAAGACAGTGAAGCAACGAGGAGACATTCAAAAACATATATCCAAAAAGCCATATGTACGTCTATGTCATCACAACATTACAACAGCCATGACATGGAGGCAACCGGGATGTCCAATGATAAGCAGATGGATAAAGGTGTGGTATGTGTGTGGAGTTACATATCTATCTAGTTCTCTCTCTCTATAAATATCTATCTACCTAGCTATATATACGGTGGTTTATGACTCAGCTATAA